CTCAAAATGATCCAACTCCGGCCCAGCATGGAGAAGCGGTGGCCCTTGAGAATCAGGGCAATGCCGAAGGGGGTTCGATGTCTCGGTTGCAGGGAATGGCACGGATGTTGTTTGGAGGGCTGGTATAATTGCTTTGCTGTGGTGAGAGACATGGCCCAGCCGGTGTCTTGAGCCATGGCTGGCTTTTAAAGTTGCCGTATGGGCGGGCAGCGGGATGCTGAATGCACCCATGGCCATGTGGTCAAGTTTGTCTTGGTTATAGTTAGTTTTCCTCTTGTTGTCGTTGAATCTACCCGTTAATTGATTACCTGTTGCTTCTTTGCATTTTGTTTGATCCTGACTTGGGACTCTATTTGTACGGCACATTCTCAGCAGAAGATAATGGGCAAACAAAGAGTTTGTCTTGCGGGACATTTGAGCTGTGGGTGAGTGATAATGTAGTTATACATGAAATATATACTCTGATGATTCAAGCGTCCAATTACAACATCTCTGCCTTGATGAATCAGTCACTTTGTTTAATTCTACTACAGTTCCAGGGTAGTACCTGTGAAGCGACACCGAAACGATGAAAGGCTGCTGAGTCATCGATGACGCAACCCCATGGATAACCCGGCAATGCCCCGCCAACCACCGACCAGCAACACAAAAGATGCAAATAATGCCCAGAGCTGGCCATGTCGTGATAGCTTCTTCCTCTCCCTACAACTCCGCTGTAGCTCCTGTGCGTTTCTTCGAGGCCCGACAGCGGCCCGGCTGCCAAAATGTCCACGTATGGAATCTCTCCCTCCCGATCTTGTGCTGTGTTTTGCGCTGTCTGACCGCTTGTTGCCGCAGGCCGTCCACCAACATTCTTTGCATCCCGTTCCGCCGGTCGCTTCACATCTCGCTGTCGACGACGATCCGGCAGTACATCAACACCAAGTATGACCAGCACCCGGACATGTTCCAGTTCGACCTCGAGGCGGTGGATGCGCTGCGCCGAGACGCCGTCAATGTGCGGGAGCCGCACCTGAGCGGCATCCGGAAGCTGCAGGTGTACGCTGGCCAGCTCGTGTGGATTGGTGGCAAGTTTCCAATCGATGTGCGTAACCACTTTTGGGGTTGTTGTTGCTGTCCTAGAAGGATAAGGGTGGAATTCAGACAGGAGAGTCGAGGAACAAGAGTGATAAGAGATGACGGCAACGACACCGGATGCTGATGATGACTTGGATTGACTCTAGATTGGCGCCGAATTCACCTGGTATCCCGCGCTGGGCTACCACACCGAGCGGCCGCTGGCGCGCAACAACCTCAAGTACGAGCTCATGAACGTCCTCTACAACCTCGCCGCCCTGTATTCCCAGCTGGCCCTCAGCACTCCCCGCGGAGACACCGAAGGTCTCAAGTCGGCGGCCAATTACTTCTCTCTCGCCGCCGGCGTCCTCTCCCACCTTCAGAAAGCCGTGCTTCCCGAGCTGCGCATGTCCGACCCGCCCGACGACATGGACAACAATACCCTCGAATCCCTGGTGCAGCTCTTTCTGGCGCAGAGCCAGGAGTGCTTCTGGCAGAAGGCTGTCATGGACGGCTACAAGGACGCTTCAATCGCAAAGCTGGCGGCGAGGGTCTCTGACCTGTACAATCTGGCAGCCGAGGCCGCGGTCCACAGTGAAGCCGTCAGCAGCGAGTGGATTCATCACATGAACGCGAAGCATCACCACTTTGCGGCAGCCGCCCAGTACCGCGCCGCATGCGATTGCCTCGAAAAGAGAAAGTATGGCGAAGAGATTGCGCGTCTAAAGGACGCCGTTCTCTGCGCAAATGACGGGATCAAAGAGGGCCGGGTGTCGTCGTTAAACAAGACCGTCATGGAGGATTTGCAGGCCCTGAAGCGAAAGCTGGAGGAGGATTTGAAGAGGGCCGAAAAGGACAACGACTTAATCTTCCTTAGTATGTCTTGACTGGTACTCCCCTTTGGAGCTCGTTGCGCGCTAACAATCACGTAAAGATCCTGTCCCTCCGAAAGCTGAACTGAAGATCCTCGAGAGAGCCAACATGGCCGCTGCCAGAACGCCCCCTCAGGTGGCCAACCCCCTCGACTACCTCGGGGATCACGCCGAGCTTGGGCCGGCGCTCTTTTCGAAGCTGGTTCCGTTCTCAGTCCATGTGGCTATATCCATCTACGAGGAGCGCAGAGATCGGACGGTGAACCAAAACATCATCCAGGAGCTCGAGAACCTGACTGAAAAGATCCACACGCTTCTCAGCTCCATTGGCTTACCCGGATCTCTGCAAGCGCTGGAGAAGCCGCTTGGTCTACCGCCGAGCTTGATCCAGCACGCAGAGGAAATTCGACAGTCCGACGCCATCAACAAGATCCAGAGGAGTTTTGCCGACATTGACAAGCTGCGGTCCAACGACTGGGCGATTTTCGAAGAAGGCAAAGCAGCGCTGGCCGCTGAAAAGGACGAGGACGAACAGCTGCGGAGGAAGTACGGCACCAGCAGATGGCGACGACCGGAGAGCCAGGCTGACCCCAACGGCTCCAAGTTTTGGGCGGCAATCGGCGAAATCGAAGGCTATTTCCAGAATAGCTCAATTAGCGATGATGCCGTTCGGGAAAAGTTCATGGCGAACAAGGACTTGCTGGAAGTTCTGTCGGGGTCGAACCAGTCTCTGATGAATTACGTGCCTGCGAGTGCCCCAGTCGAGACGTCGGGTGATTTGAAAGCATCCGTTGGGCGATTGCGAAGTGTGTACAATGATATCCTGCGGCTGGAGAGTAGGAGGAGGAAAAAGGTGGAAAGCTTGAGGGAGGCGGCACGGCGCGACGACATCAAACCCGATATTCTCAAGGAAGCAGCTCGTTTAGAACGGACGTATACTACGACGCCCCTGCAGACGGTTCACTTCGAAGAGTTTTTCGAAAAGCGTCTGGACAAGCTGTACGAGCCCGAACTTGAAGCCATTGAAAAAGAAGCGCAAGAACAAGAAAATCTCTTGACGCTTCTCCAGCGCGCAAACAGGGAGTTTGAGTCTCAGAAACGCCTCATTGATGGCAAGGGTCATCGAGATCGCGAACAGGTGCTGCAGAAGCTCAACGGCGCGTATTTCAAGTACAAGGAGATTGGGACCAACCTGGAGGTGGGTAGGAAGTTCTACAATGACCTCAACAAGATAGTTGCGAATGGTTTCCGAGATGCTGTCAAAGCCTGGGCGGCGGAGCGACGGACAGAGGCTAGGCGTCTTGAAGAGTAAGTTTGCCGTAAAGAATGCGGAATGCGGTTGTTTGCGGGCTAACATTGTTCAAATAGGGAGCTCAATATGCCCCCCCTTTCGGGCCTCAACATCACCCACCAGCAGGCAGCTCAGGCTCCAACCGGATACGCAGCCCATCCCGTTGCCCATCAACCAGCCCAACATGACCAATACCAGCCGTCATACCAGCAGCCATATCAATCATCGTATCAGCAGCCACCACCACAGCAGCAGCATTATCAACCACCACAGCAGCAGCCCTTATTTTCAAGGCCCGCCGTCCAGAGTCCCGCAGAGGCCTCGATACAATCTTGGGCTGGCCAAGCGCAGCAGCAGCAGCCGATGCAGCCACAGGTGTCGCCACAGCCTGGGCAGACACCAAGCCCGATGCCTGGAACGTGGAACCCCTCTATGGGCATCAAGTTTGGAGGGCCACCAGCGGGAGGGTCACAGGGTAGCGGAGGGACATGGAACGCCAATTCAGGCATTAGATTTGGATGATTGACGTATGCTTGGAATGCCGCAATGCCTGACATGATGGAGTCTACTATATACCTACAAATCTATACACGTGTACAAATATAATGTGGACATATTTACGACGTTGGAGAATTCAAGTTTCTGGGCCTTGGTAGATGCGTATGGGAGAGTCTCGGAATGAAAAATTGAGTGAACGAGGTGAATTATCACTCTAGGGAGTAGATGCACTATGCATCAACAGCTTGTTTATGCGGGCTGCATAAACCAACGCTTACTCGTAGCATGTGTCGGCATCTTTGGGATCCATTGCCTGGCCTCATGCTGCTTCTGGGCTGACGATTGTGAGACTTCCGGGGAAGGATGTGGCGCCCCAAGTTGAGAACAATATGTTTTTAGTAAATGTGTCAAAACAGAATGGTGATGTAGTCTATTCTGCGCGTTTGACTTGTTCATCAAGACTCATCAAAGGCAGAAGGTTTTTGAAAGTTGGCGAATTGCTTTCCATTACAGTGACGAGGCTGCCAATGATATAGTCTCACCGGCAACTTGGTTCATTGATGGGATGTGAATGGACAAATGAATGGGGAACGAAACCAGAGATCAACAGGATCCGCATGCTATTTTACCAAACCGGCTTCTCGTGTCGTCTCGCGTGTTGAAAATATTACAATGATCGAGGAACATCATATGCTGCTTTACTTTGCATGTTCTGGCCAATGTTGGACGAAGAAATGAATCAGAGTCTCATGTTACCCCTGTGAAGGGAGGTTGTTGACTCTTGCCCAGGGCTGATCCCTCGATACATGTACCTAGGATGGTATGGAGTCTCAGATGGCTGCTTGTCTCTAAAGATATTAAGATGGACATCTGGAATATGGACTGCTGTTGATGAATACCAACTACCAACATGTGGTTTACTTACTGCATGTCTCTACGGGACTTGGTATGAAAGCGGCTGTGAGTGTATACCTATGTAGATAGCATCAACACATTCCTAAAGGTTTCGCCAAACACTCCGTGAGCATGATTGCCGGGCAACATTCTGAAACAAAGTCGAATGCCATCAACACGGAAATCCCTTGAACAACGTCATGAAACGTATCAAGGAATCCGTCTTGGTTGCAGTCGAATATAAAGACGACAGTATTCCAGCAGCAGGGAGCTCACCAGCACCCTCCCATACTTACATACATATATACTCTTCAACGACAAGTCCCAAAAAGAGCTTTCTCAACTCGTCATTGAAGGGAAAGAAAGAAAAAGACAACGTCTCAAAAAAAATGAGATTCACCACCGCCGTCGTCTCCCTCCTTGCGGGCAGCGCATTCGCCGCCCCCACGGACATGTCCGCCGACATCAAGGCCGACACGGCTTCCGACATGTCCGTAGATACCGCCGCTGCCCTTTCACACATGCGCCTGGCCGACATGTTCAGCGACCGCCAGCTGGCCGTGCTCAAGGTCCTCTCCGAGCACAAGCATGAGCTCGGCCTGAACGGCAAGGAGGCCGAGATGATGGAGACCTTTATGGGGGCGCTGCACGAGACGGTGCACCTCAACGACAGCGACAAGAGACAGGTTGCCACTCCTGCAGTTCTTCCAAGCATCACCAATGCTGCTCATGCTGCCGGCAGTGCCACCAACACGGTGACGGGCCCGCTGGGGAGTCTTGGGAGTGTGATTGATCCGCTCAACACCACCAATGCTAATGGTACCACTGCTGCACTCGGCACTACCGCCGGAACCATAGCTAATGCCACCACGGGGGGTCTCACGGGCTCGATTTCGCCGTTGGATATTCTTAAGAGCATTCCGGCGTTGGCGAGTCTGTTGGGCCAGGTCCCCGGCCTTGGAGGGGCTACGAGCGGACTGACGGGCGGCACAAGCGGATTGGGAGGACTCACAGGCGGACTCGGTGGGTTGACTGGTGGTCTTGGAGGGTTGACGGGAGGTCTTGGAGGACTGACGGGAGGTTTGGGTGGCCTTGGTGGGTTGGGACTTTTTGGCCGTGGACTTCTCGGCGGTATTCTCATTCCTGGGATCTTGTAAATGGGGTTGTTTGTTGTGAGACATGGATTTGTAAGGCCGGATGAACGGATGGATGAATGGATAAGAGAGTGTGTGTAAAGGAATGAATGGGAGGGAGGGCTCAAGATGAAAACAGCAATGATTTGATGAAACTAGCATCTACCTAAACACAATGATTTCGATTTCCCAAAAGAGCTTTTACTGTGAGAGTTTGGGGTTATGCTATGTTATGGATGGCCGTAGTATGTAAACAGGTAGTGTATAGACATATGTGCTTCTGTCGTGTTGGTAGAATCGTGAATCCCTTGAAGCCATGATTGACGTCGTATACGGTCATCGTCGATTATTCACACAACAGGCCTAGGCTTTGCTAATAGAGCTACAGGATAAATCTGTACTTGTACCATAGAACTTCAACATGTAGTTACTAATCGATGGAAATTGATTCACTGCATCGTGCTCGTCTCGTTTGTTCAAAACCATTTGCTAACCTTTGCCACAGCTGAAGAGGACCGTCGGAGTTGATCAAGTGTAAAGTACCCACGAACACGTGTACAGCTGCAGCAAATGGTAGATACCTCTCTCCTGGCAGCCACCTGGCACCCTTAGTCGCCATCATCACGATTCATCGAGGGCTGTGCACGGATCGTGAAGCTTCTCTCGCTTCTTCCGTTTGATCTCTTCCCTTCTTCTTTCATGCCTCGCTCACCAGTTCCCACTCTGAATCCATATCATCCGCCCACTCGCATTTCATGTCTCCGAGAGAACATTAACATTGTTCAGCATTGGTTCTCGTCTCATTGTTTACCCTCTCTACAGGCGGCATAGTCTGCAACTGCTCTAGACAATGTCTGATCAGACCAACCTCTGGCTGTATCGGGAGCCCAGTCCCGCCAATATGCATCTGTCTACATCTCAGTCAGATTCCGATGAGAAGCAGCTGCCGCAGGAGCCGGATTATGAAAAGTATGCCGCAATGATGGAGCTGTGGTCCAGGATCCATCAAAAGGCTCACCTGTCCTGGAGAGAAGGCTTGGAGACGGCTCGGCGACTGCAGGCGGGAGAGCGCTCTGTTTCGGCGTTGCGCAAGGTTGTGACCAAGGCCATGAGAGAAGAGTTCACAGGCGTGGAATTCGTGCGTTACAAGTTTCGGACTGCTTCCGACCGACATCCCATCATGCGAGACGACGTTTCCAGACTCATCCCTTTGGCTCTGGGCCGCTTGATGGGCGTGGCACCCCCAGACGACGCAGATGAGCAGGCCCTCAGATGCCCTGGTCTATGGGATGGACATTTTGTTCCTAGAACTATCTTCAGGCTAGATCTCAGGTTGGCCGTGGAGTATGCGGACGAAATTATGCAGATATTAAAGACTGTGCGCATGAGGGATTCTTTCGAGCCCGCGACAATAGAGCAGAAGGCGATGGAATAGCTCACGAAGCTTGAGGACTGCTTGCGGGACATGATCCATGTTGAGTGGTTGAGAAACTGGGTAAGACGGTTTCCAGAGGTATCAGGCCCTGGTGACGGCCTGGATGGACAACAAAAATCCCTTCAACTCACTACAGGCGCAGAAACATTTGCACACATCACACACCAACAGTCGCTATCCACGGGCGAAGAGATGCCAGCCTTGGATCATGTGGCCCAGGCTGCTATCGGGCAGTCAACGGTTCCCCATTCAGAGACGGCGGTTACTACATGTACATGTAGTGTTGAGGCTATGCTCAAGAGTGACCTTCTAGCCTCTGAACACGACAGTAATCAGTTTTGCAATGTAATGGAACAATCGAATTACCAATCGCCAGCTTCAAACGACCAAATGCCGGATGCTGAGGGGCAGACATCAAAGTCAAATGAACACCCGTCCAACTCAAGCGAGGAGCCATTGATTGATGTCGCAGAGGTTATGACGGACCGCCGGCTGCTGCTTTCTCCGCCATCAGTTTATTATTGGAGTAGGCCGGCCAAGTCCACGCCTCCGGCTCGTGGAGATGATTATGCTTCAGCCCCTAACGCTTTTGGACGCCGTCTTCTGAGGTCCGTTGCCCAGTCACGAAGATCCAACTCTTCAAAAGGCAGATTCTAACCCCAGACAACAGGCTACGGGAAATGCTTGGCCCCCAACCCGAATAATAGCTTTCCTCATGGACATGTCACATCGTGCGAGAATATCCGGCTCGACGCTTCGTCGCATTTTTGATCTGCGGGAGCGGTGGAACAATTCTACACCCTGGCCATCCGCAGAGGAGGTGGCCAGTTTGGTGAGAGACGTGGCAGACAAGTATCCTCGACCTATACCATCCGATCTGGCGAATGATTTGGCTGATTGGGAGGAGCGAGGGATGAATGTGTGAAAGATTCAGGCGTGCTATGGGGTTTTCTTTGGTGATTGAGAGGGATTGAGAAACAGTTTCTTCACCACGAAAAGTTTATTCGGATGGGAGGCAAAGGAGGACGATGATCTCGTTTTCGAGATGGGGTGCTAGGTGAGCTTCTTAAGTAAGGGGGTTTTCATCGTATAACAACTTGGCCGGGGTATCAAAACACCAAGGATAATATAGGCGTGATGGCCATGTGTGGCAGCGAGATTCCTTTTTTTTATATCACGCCGAAGATGGTAATCACTTGAAGTGTCCTGTGCTCGCTTTTTCTCCTCTTTGTCATTGACTATATTCCTTGGCTCGTCTCCGGGTAGTCCTTGTCAATGTTGATGCAGTCTCTTGCTGCGCTCCCTAGTTGTAACGTAATGTCTACTGTTGAGGAGGTAAGGCGCTTCGGACCAGAGACACCGGGTCGTGTAAGGGGTGAGGCATCCAGTCAGTAAATGGGCTAGTGATATAAGCACAAGGCATGATGCAAAGCTCCTGGCTTTACTATACCCAGATTGAGGCTTAAAGGTATCTAAAGAGGTATGTCTAACGCTACCTTCACATGTAATGTGAAATAGTTGATCCACAGACGGAGGGCTTTGGGTGGTGCTGGCATCGTTGCCTATCTATCTAGGCTAGTGACAAAGTTTGATGCTGTCTGAAATCGAAAGAGTGCCATTTAGCTAAGCGAGAAGAAGAATGGCCAGCATTGACCGAAGGATCTTGTAGCAGACTGGAGAGAGAAGGCTACGGGATGATGTAAAGGAATTATGATATAGAGAAGGAGAGAGAGAGAAAGAGGAGAGAATAGTGGAAAATGCAAAACAGTAAGTAAAAACAAATAGGGAGAACCCCATGGCGGGGGTGGGCAGTGATTCAAAGATACCCGAGAGGCTGCGTGGGTGCTCGGTGCTGGTGGTTGATGGGAAAAGTGAGAGGTAATGTATTTTCGTTTAGCTGTAGAGAACCTGACAACATTGAGTATCCAACTCCTGAGGATAGAATGCTTGCATCCTGTGTATACACATACAGACATTAGAGTTGACGATGGCTTTCCAATATGAAAGGCGTTTTGCTTTAGCTGCATTCTGCCACCAGATGCCAACAGCTTTGCATTTGCCAGCCAATGCCCTACTCTTGATGCCCTGATACCTTGTCGTTTGTGTCCAAGTCTCGATCCAGCTATAAATTCCATGGCTGTCCTTTCTTCCTCTTGCGTTTATTCTTCTCTCATCACCGTTAGTGAAGCATCACCCGCTTGCACGTTTCCTCTTCTTATCCTATCTACTGCTTTTACATTCACCGGCTCTTCTCTTGAAGCAGTATTCTCCATGATCTCATGCAGTACGCGTTACAATACAAATTTACCATCACTGTGAATTAATCAAGGATCAGGAATCGATCTTTCTACCGTATTTCTACTTTCCGAACTCGACTCACCATCGTGTGAGACAACGCCCTTCCTTTCGATGGGAGTCACGGCTGAACGGTTTTTCTTTAAACTCAAGTGTCGGCCCTGAGCTCACTGTCTATACCTTTTTTCCATACGCCGTGTATGCCCGCGAGCATCTCAATCAGGCTTTGGCCAACCAGCAATCAGAGGAATGGCTCCATAGTATCGGTCAGTCACTGTCGGTCAACAATTACGCGCCCTGAACCCAAGAACTAGCGGACAGCATTCCTGCTTTCCAGGCCCCATATAGTTTGAATGACAAAGCCTCAAACATCACGACTGGCCAAGATCAAGCTAGGGAATCACAGAATCGCGAGATATCACCAACGCCTACAAGACTGAACCTTCTCGAGGGTTGGGAAAAGGAGCTTGATGACAGGCTCCCACCTCACAACATTGACTTGCTTGTTGAAAAGGCCAAATACCATTACGACAGATTGGAGAGGCTGGGCTACGTGGCTGTCCTCGGAGACGCAAAGTTGATCGTCGATCGCAACTTGATGTGAATGCCACAAGGCAGGAAGCGCATGGCACCAGAGGAGCTAGAGAAACGACTACGGAAAGTGATTCGAGGACCTGATGCGTCGCGTTCACCCGGCCCCGTTGCTTCGGACTGAGACCTTGGGGAAATTGCACCCACGCAAGAGCCAGGAACTGAGCTCATTCCCCATTACCACGGGTATGATGATCTGGGGAAGACGTGGTCTGCAGTTCTTGATGGCGCACACTGGGCTTGGAAGGTGAGACTTGAGAAGATCAAGGCACTTGAGGAAGGACGCCGTTCTGAGGCCGTCTTGAGAACGCTAGTCACAAAAGCCTATGTAAAGGAAAAGAACGACTGGAGAATGGTACGTCAAAAAGTGACGCAGGTATTGAAAGGGGATGGGGCCCACACATTGCATGAGACGGACATTGATTTGCCTCTGGAAGGATATTGGGTATATGCCCGCCGGAGGATCTTGCTGGAGACATCAGGTCGGATTGTTTGCTGGACCAGGCCATAGAGATCAATGTGGCGGCCGTACGTTGCATTGAAAGGATATTGAACGCCTTGATGGTATGTAAAAGGCGCAAACACGCGTTTCTGGAGGTAGATCTTGAGGAACTTGGCAATGTTGTGATGTCGACTGGATGGCTGGGAAAGTGGATGGGATTTATCGAAGCCGATATCGACTTGGAGGATTAAAATAATCGAG